TATACATACAATACAATACAATATAATATAAAATAATATAATATAATATAATATAATATAATATAATATAATATAATATAATATAATATAATATAATAATATAATATAATATAAAATAAAATAAAATAATATAATAATATAATATAATATAATATAATATAATAATACAATACAATACAATACAATATAATATAAAATAATATAATATAATATAATATAATATAATATAATATAATATAATACAATATAATATAAAATAATATAATATAATATAATATAATATAATATAATATAATATAATATAATATAATATAATAATATAATATAATATAAAATAAAATAAAATAATATAATAATATAATATAATATAATATAATATAATATAATATAATATAATATAATAATACAATACAATACAATACAATATAATATAAAATAATATAATATAATATAATATAATATAATATAATATAATATAATATAATATAATATAATATATGTGTCACAATCACCAGCGACCTCTAACCACCAGAGGTCGCTAAAAAACATTCTCACTCATACAAACTACAAATCCGCCAGTTTATGGACTACAACTTCATACATGCACTTGGCCCACACAAACCTGCTTCTTCATTTAGACTGATTACACTTGCACCAGCTGAGGATTGTCAAAGTCTGATTACACACACTACTTAAGCAGCACACACACTCATTCGCATGGCTGAGTCTTGTTATCTGTATAGTAACACTACAACGTGTTTTCCTAGTCTTGTTTTCTTGTGTTTTGACCCCTGCCTTGTTAGCCTTTTCGTCTTAGACTGCCGCCTGCCTTACGACCTCTCGCCTGTTATTTAACTACGATTCTGGACTGCCTCTAGACGTCTGTTTGCACCTGTGTTGACCATTGCTTGCCTGACCACTGAATAAACCTGCACGTGGATCCAAACTTCTGTTACAATACGGGTCAAAGATTTCGGTTTGCAGATCAGATTATTTGTACAACTGTAGTTTTCCACATGTAGACACCGTAATAAATGGAAGAAAAGTGTTAATATTTTAATATAGTGTTACACTTTAATATTTGCCAAATGTCTAAATATAGTTGAAAAAGTTTATCACTACTTATACTGCGCTGTAATACATTTATTTAAGAATAAGTGTTAAACTTAATGTGTTGTGTGTGAAATGCTGAAAATGGTGTTGTCGGATGTGTGAAATCTGATGTCTTGAAGGAGTGAAATAAGATTAAAGATTTCAGATGACTTTTTTAGATGAGAGTTTTTAACATTACAGAAAATCATTCTTGATCTGAATCTGATGAGAGTTTTGCACACAGAAATACTGTTAAACTTAATATTATAGTGGATCCTGAACATATGCTAAGCATATCCCGAACATAACCAAAACTTATCCTGAACATTGTCACATTGCTCGGGTGAATTGTGAAATTTCGATTTGTAATATTTAAACCAGAACATAACCTGAAAATATCCTGACTATAACCTAAACATAACTTAATATAATATTCTGAACATACCCTAAACATATCCTGAACATAGTCACATTGCTCAGGTGAATTGTGAAATTTCGATTTGTAATATTTAAACCAGAACATAACCTGAAAATATCCTGACTATAACCTAAACATAACATAAACATAACTTAATATAATATTCTGAACATACCCTAAACATATCCTGAACATTGTCACATTGCTCAGTGAATTGGTTG